TGCATGCTTTGTGATATTTTACTGTTCGTTGTACCATTAGTCCCTCCGGCCAGCAGGGGGTGGGGTAACAGCCTGAATGACGGGGTGGTCTATAGGCACTGCATTACTTGGCCTTGTGATACATTTCCATGTGAGAAGCTTGGCTGATATGGTCCCTTACTATTGACTTAATTTATAATAAAGATAATTGTGTTACCTGATATGATATCTGCCTGCTCCTCGTGTGTGTGGGTTAATTGGGGGATCAAAAGAACATGGGTGCCAGCAAGTGGGCCATTACATAGAGGGCTCACTCGCGACTGAGGCTGCTTCTCAGGTCAATTAAATGAAATCCTTGCTTCCCTCACTTGCGTCGTTTCCCTGCGTTTAGTCCCTCCCACCAGGGAAGCATGGAGGGACGCAAGGGAACCACGAGAAGCAGGGAAATTAGTTTTAAGAGCAATGGGACGTCCTTTCCTCCGGAGCGTCACGTGAAGCGACGTCCGTTTGTGATGACGCTGCACAGCTGATCGTCTGACAGCAGCCAGCTCTGTCCCCGTTATTTCCACACACACCCCCGCCTCTGTTAGTACACATTTACTCAGGGCCGCCCCTCCCTACAGGCATGGCCGTATCTACCATTGAGGTCACCGAGGTCCGGACCTCGGTAATATTTTCCGAGCTGTGTATAACAAAACTTGTGAAATAATTACACTAAACGGGGTTCTTTGTAGTACTTCCATTTACTGACCATGGGGGCGCTGCATAACTAAGTAGCCTCGATTAAAGCAAACAGAAGAAGACGACATGTATCAACAAATCACCGCAGCCCGGACTTGTACCGGAGCAGCGGAGGAGTGATGAGGTATCTAGAGATCTGAGTCCAGCGGGCTACTTGTGTTTCTGTTCATCAGGACATCATATGAGCAGCAGATCCTGTGTGAACGCTCTACGTTAGTCAGTGGACGTCCGACAACATGCACACTAACTTATATTGCAGCTATAGTATAGGCTATACTTTGGTTTAAATTGCGTGAATAAACTAGCTAGAGAGCTACAGTTAATTACATTCATCCAATGTCAGAAGGATTACCTTTTAACAAACGTTGTAATGCTTTTCTTTTATTTCAATTTGAGTAAAACATTGAAGATATAACATTGTATTGTTTTCTTTTTACACTGACTTAGATATAATGAAAAGACAGTCAGTCGAAGCTCAGCGTTGGTAAGGAAGAGACAGGACAGGCAGAGAGAAAGAGAGAGAGAGAAAGTGATGGAAGTCAGGGAGGAACTGCAGGTACAGTCACACAAAAATAATGTAGGCTTAACAACCCCATATCTATCTATTTATCTATAACAATAGTCTTCATTTACAATAGGCATAATTTTAAAACATACATCTATTGCAGTTATGATGTCATAATAACATACAATTGTATAAAACACAATTTGCTTACATCTTTGTTCTCTTTTGAGAATCAAACAAAACAGATTTACATTTTTAAAAAATGCAAACAAACAAGTGAAATGAACTAAATTGCTGAATTGCTTTTGATTCACTGGCGGGAGCGACAAGTGAGGAGGAGCAAAAAGTGAACAACGAGGGAGAGATTGAACAAAGAGAAAGCGTAGAGGACAGAGAGAGTAATGAACAGGAAGAAGACAGAGAGACTCAATAAGATGGAAGAGAGGCTGTAGGTTATGGAAAGGAGAGAGACATGGAAAATGAATGTTGACCAGTGGCGAGCCGTCAGGGCCCTCTGTGAGGGCCTAAGATATTCTACAAAATAATATTTAAAAACATTAAAACAAATTATATATTTTTTTAGTTATATTTTTCATTAGTTTTACCAAAATAACTTGATTTAATTGTAATTAAAATAACATTTCCAAAGAAATAAATCCTTCGAATCTGCCTATTCAGTTTATGTTGGAATGTGAAGAGTTAAATGAAAGAAGCTCGTCTCTGCAAGTTACTGTGAAGAGAGGAGCTGTTGGACGTCCAGGCGGTCCAGCTATGAATTCACAGAGGGCCCCGCTATAGTAACTGAACGAGAGAGTAATGTCAAATGACAGTACAATTGACCAATCATATCTTCCCGCTAAATGGGTGGGTGTTATTATCACGGACTTTAAGTTCCGCCCGCTGTGAAACGTTTCTTGTTTCCATAGCAACAACAACTTCCTGTCAACAGCGTTAACTCGCCTTCAAAATAAAAGCATGCCAAATTACACTTAAGACATACAACTGCAACGAAAGTAACAAACACAATGCAATATCCTTTTCAATTTCAAAGAACACAAATAGGGTTATTTACAGGTGTTGTTTTGTGTGGTAGAGGGTCGCTTTCATTGATGCGTTTTGCACCCCGGGCCGTTGTTTTGATATTCCGCTGAAGTATACGCTGTGACGTAATAACTCGAGGGAAGAGGTGGGGGTCAGAGGGCCTAGGTATAAAAGTCACGGCTCGCCACTGATGTTGACAATGTTTTGTGATCATTTTAGCCTCTTCTGCATGTCCAGATCATTAATAGTAACAATCAACTGATTCTTATTATGTATTACACTTTCAAAATAATTGATGCTGACATTGTCAGCCCACTGACATGGTTTGAAATCGATATATTATCCAATTTGTGACCCCCCATAGGACTTAAAAAGCACCATAACTAGATCATGAAAATCCCCAAAATCTCGGGGGGTATCCCCCAAACCCCCCTAGCATGTTTGGACCTCGGTATTTAGGAAATCCTGGATACGGCCCTGCCTACAGGCCAATCACGCAGGCTGCATGGGGCCCCGCCTTGCGCAGGGGGCCCCGCCCAGAGGGTCTCAGCTGCTGTGCGCAGTTCTCCGCGCACCCCCCGCGAGAGTGAGAGGTGACAAGGGGAGCACGTCTGTAATCCGACACCGTTGCAATGAATCGACATCTGACCAATCACGGCTTTGATACGGCCACTTGTGCAGGTGAAGAGATGTCGGTGAAAAGACAGTAGGCTTGTTTGAGACGCGTTGCGGCTCGCCTCAAAAGTAGACGAGAATAGCCGATTGCAGCCGGGGGAGGTCTCAAAAAGCTCGCCTGAAGTCGGACAGCTCGGAGTCGGCTTCGTCTTCTTCTTCTCTCGTTTTTTTGGCGGATTGCAAACAACTTTAAGGTGCATACCGCCACCTCCGGAGTCGGCTTGACTCGGTTTGCATTTATAAAGAATCCACACGTGTTTAATAGTAATGTCAGATATGTACTAAGTAAATACATTTGTTCCTGCTCAAGATTAGATTCAACTTTATTGTTATTGCACATATTACAGGTACTGAGACAACGAAATGCAGTTTAGCTTCTAACCAGGTGCAACAAGCAGTAAAGTGAAAAGTAATGAACACAATCTACAGAATAACATATAGAATGAATTGAATGATGAATAAACAGTGAGGGCTATGAATACACTAGATATCAGCCTGTGAGCAGTATGAACAGTGTGTATGAATATGCTAAGATATATATAAAGTATGAAAACGGTAAGCAGTGCAAGTATAGTATAAAATATATAGATATTAATTTCATGATGATAAACATTGTTGAACAATGATGAAAAATGGGAATGGATGTGGTGACGTAAAACTGACACAAAACAACAACAAACTTTTGCCGAGCCAATTGGAGAGTTTCATCAGCAGCACGGGGTAAAAACCACCAATGAGCGCTCAGCTCGAGATACCGGCGAGTTGTTTCCCATCAAGCATTTCGCTTCTGCAGCCCGTGGAGAGGAACTGTGCCGCCGCGCCTCGCTCTCAAGGCTGCAGGCGTCTTTGTCCCGCGAGATTTCAACGTCTCATGTAGGCGAGCCTCCAGAGCAAGTCGGACAAAATGACTAACCATCATGCAACGCACTAGCAAGACGTTGATCGCAACTGTGCAGTTCTTGCTTGTCTCAAACAAGCCTAGTTTCAGATTTAAGAAATATCAGTTTTTGAGCATGTCATAAGCATGTTTTGTCTTGACTATATTACAACTATATTATAATAAAATAATATAGTATTTATATTATTGAATTGATTATGATTATTATTATTAGTAGAAGTAGTTTATTTGCATTAATTATATTTAAATCTTTTTGAGGCTAGTATTTGTCAGGAAATGCAGACGTATTCACCTGTAAACGCATACTGAACGACATACATTTACCATTTACCTCACTGTATAAAAAAGTAATTGTGTTGATAATAATAATAATAAACAGGAATTATATTTGTAAAGTAGCCTACTTTGTTTTTTTAAAAAAATGTTTCACTCCTGTCGGTTGGGGGGGGGGGGCCTCATCTCACAATGTCGCTTGGGGCCCCAAGTTGGCCAGGGGCGGCCCTGCATTTACTGACACAAACATTTGTATCATCTGTTGTAGATCCCAATAAATAAAATAAAATAAGAACTCATTCTCAAAAAAGATAAACGCCATTCTTAAAATGTATAAACGAACAATAGTTTGATTAATATTGATTAGAGTGCACAAAAGAAATAAAATAATTGAGAGAAGAAAAAGAGATATGTTATCTATCAAAACCCAATTAGATTAACATTCATTGGATTGCACACTTTGTTTGTTTGTGTGGATATGTAGTACATTAACATTTTAATAGCACTTAATGACTGACTGAATGGAAATGACAATAAATGAAAATGTAAAACGAAAAAAGCGATCATGAAAATGTTTCCAACAAATGAATAAAATGATTTTTGACCACTTTGTTGTTCAGATATATCACATATGTGTAACTAAATGAAACAGGAATTGAAACAAAACACGGTATAAACTGAGGAGTGACTCCCGTGAGGTTCATGTATTTTCTTCACTCCGCTGGGAAACGGCTCTCATGTCAAGAAGCATGAGATCAGTGCATGCACTGCATCGTCCAATCAGTGAGCGATACACAGTAAGGGGGCGGGGCGAGTATCTGAGGATTTCATCGGAGGATGGTCTGGTGGTTCCTCGATTATCGCTTCTCCATTATCGCTCCTCGATCCTCGGTCCTCCGGCAGAAATAAGAGCCATGGGACGGTACTCAAGATGGCGCAGGCAAATCAACTTCCGGTGAGACCGAGGACCGAGGAGCGAGGAAATGAAAATAGTCGACCTGAGAAGCAGCCATAGACTTCAATCCTTCACAAAGCGGAAGGGAAACATGCATGACATAATTTGTTTATTTTGCATGACCCCAAATGATCCATAACAATATGTTAATGTATGGCAGTTTCAGTAAAGCTGCACCGGACACCATAAAACTCTCAATAATTGCAAACAAAAGGCAGACGAATCACAAGCTCCACCTCATGACATTTTTTTATATGCCATCTTAATACGCCTTACATATAACAGTTTGCTCTCTTTAGTTTTGATGGTGTTGAGCTGTGAACCACAAGCCACATTCCTGTAGTCATGAGGCCGAGCTGATCTGAGTCACACGCTGAGACGGGGAGAAACAGAAAGAGAGAAGTCAGAAAGAAACTCTGCTAGGGTTCATTTCAGTGTGAAAGTACGACACGGTCTGTAAGCAAGACATGGTTACTTTCAAGGGATCTACTACAGAAATGGGCTGAAAAAGGAATACAATCATCACAATGTTGACAATGCAGGTATGTAATTCATCATGGGACATTCTGGTTTTACTTATACTGGGTTTGGTTTCAAGACCTCACAGTCTTAAAGGTGAGCTTCTCCAATGAAACATGTCGGGCAGCCACAGAAAAAAATCAAGCTTGTTAAATGAACCTTTCACCCTAAAATGTGACGTCCTTCACCTATTTTCTATACCCTTAAATTCTATGAGAGCATTTGATTGCATGAACATTAACAACAATGTGGGGGATTAAGTGTCCGGAGTATGGCATCCCAGCAAATATCAGTGTAACAAAAAAGATCTTGGGAATTTCTTGTTTGCAAGAATTGCACTATATAGACACATATACACACTTATTTAGTTCAGCAGTATGCATAACAACACATAACCAAACCAAGATGCAATTTTAAGATAAGGGATTGTCAGTTGCGTTTGTACTGATAAGCTCAAGAAATACAGTAAATGTTATTTCCTCTATCGAGAAGTAACACTTATGCCTGTATTTGAACACAGCCTTCTTCTTGCACATGTATGAGACATATTGTGCTTTCTTTATCTCCTTCTGAACAGGTGTAGTATAAACAGGCAATGATAAATAGGGCCACAGTCCGTATTACTTTATTTACAAGTATGGAAGTGGACATTTTAGAATAATAGCAGAGAAAGCGGTTATACTGCAGGGGCGAAAGCCATATAAAGTAGAGCATTGAGTGTTTACACCTCAGTGCTAAAATGTGGTGTTGTCACAAGCAGGCAGGGGAGAAGGAGAGCTGGCTATTACTTTAAATAGAACAACTAACTGTCTATGTCATGAAATGTGCTGTGGAGAGTCATGACCAAACACAGCTCTTATCCTCCATTAACAGGCTGAGCTGCACTGCAATGATAATACATGACATTCTGGACATTTTCTTTAAATGCAGGACAGATATTGGCAACTATAAAGCCTTATAAAGTATAAAATGCATATCTACTTCTTTAAACTGAATATATTGAATAAATAAACAACAGCCTCCTAATCTACTGCCTCTGCCAGCCGATCACACCATCACCATGTCACTGCAGTAAATAACACTTGTCCGGAAAGCAGAAGTGATCTGGTTTCCTGCCTTTCTTTAAATAAACTGCAAATGTTTTCAGAGTCGAGAGGCTATGGTTCATCTGATCGGGTTTGCTAGAAAGAGACATTGGTGCATGACTGTTCTGTTTCTTCAAGAGTAACAGGTTTAACCCATTGGCCTGGTCCCTAATCCACCATTCATGTTTTCTTTTTTAAATAAATGGATTACAAACTGAATTATTTTTAACACTTTAATTTATATAAATGTGGGTAAAGTCAAAACATATGCTTCATACAATAGAATAATCAGTGTTTAGGACTTACTTACTTGAACAGCTAGGCCTACTTCTTGTAGTGGCAGACACTGGACTTTTTAACCATGTAACCATATCTTTTAAATAATGCTAACCATTTCAACTGCTAATCTATTAGGCCTACTTTCACCAAAGTTCTTTAATAGTTTATCCATTACATTTAGCTCAACGGTTAAACCAATAAATGTAATCCATTGCAACTATTCCAACAGTTTATTCATAATTTTACTCGCTACAGGGTGTACTTTGAGGGTTTTTGACTCTGCAGACCGTTTACATGCATAAAAACCTTCATAACACAAGGGGACGGGTAATAACCGGAAAAGCATGACATGGGACCTTTAAGCTTAACATTTCAACTATAAATAACTTTTAGCTCACCATTTGAAATGTTTGATCAAGCCTTTGATGCTAATTAACAAATTCAACTAACTAAAGCTAAGTATTTAACCCTCTGGAGTCCAAGTGCACATTTATTTACGTATTTAATCATAGATTTTCGCTTGTAAGGAGTAGAAATATCTGCGGAATCGCTAGAAGCGTAGCTTTTCAAGAGTATCTCCTGTGAGACTGTACCCAGGGCACAGCAGCCAATATTGCCGCTCAAAGCAGCTTGATTCGGCGTTACACTGTGTGTGATTGGTGGATTTGTGTGTCAGTCAAGGACATCTCGGCCGGCCGGCAGCCATGTCGGTCTGAAATGACCAATGGACACTCTAGAAATCTAAGGACCTACCCACCAATAAAAAATATATAACAGGTGTCTCCCATCAGTTTCAGTCTTTTAGTCTGTGAAGAAGATAGAGAAAATGGCTCGAAGGAACTTTACCGTTGCGGACGCGCTGGATTTTATTTTCGCGAGTGGCAGTGAAGAAGATGGCTCATCAGAACCTGAAGGCTTCGACTCTTCTGAAGAAGAAGAATACAGGGACAGCAGGGATCCATTTGAGGATGGGTAAGTGTACATATAACTTGTAGTGCATTTGCCATTTTGTGAGGAGTACCGCGAAAATGAACAATGGATTTATCAACCTTTTTATTTTCCCCTCATGAACTTTTTCTCGGGACAAAATAGACTCTTGATTAGTAAACGTTTACTCTGTGTAAACGTTATTTTGGTGTGTATAAGTAAGGTTACATGTGTAGATGCATGAGATAATCCTTTATTTGTCCCACAACGGAGACATTTAATTTATTTATATGTGTGCCTGCCATTTGTGGGGAGTGCTATACAGTAATGGGGAGGTGTGTGTGTGTGTGTGTGTGTGTGTGTGTGTGTGTGTGTGTGTGTGTGTGTGTGTGTGTGTGTGTGTGTGTGTGTGTGTGTGTGTGTGTGTGTGTGGTGTGTGTGTGTGTGTGTGTGTGTGTGTGTGTGTGTGTGTGTGTGTGTGTGTGTGTGTGTGTGTGTGTGTGTGTGTGTGTGTGTGTGTGTGTGTGTGTGTGTGTGTGTGTGTGTGTGTGTGTGTGTGTGTGTGTGGAAGGAACTTCGTAATAATTATTGTCCCACCATTTTTATTTGTTTTACAGAGAGGTTTCACAGCTGCCTGGGCCTAGCAGCCCACAGATGACATTTATCCAGGAGCCTCCAGCTGTGCCTGCCACCATGTTGAGAAGGGCCTTCACCACTGCCATCCCCACCAAGCACTACACGACAGCTGCCTCCATCTCTGCCTGCAACGAGGTCAAGATACACCTCAGCTCCACCACAGCCATCACCATCGACCCGGACAGCAAAGAGGTCTCTAGAGCACACGTACCTCCCACACAGCCACCAGCTGCCCATGCACCATCACCCCCACCTGCACAGCAGCCAGCTCCACTGTCTTGGAAGACAGGCGAAGACCCTGACACTGCTCCCCCTGTCTCCAGGTTTCAACCTGCTCGCACACCCGGGCCACAGCTCAGCTCAACAGTATCAAACAAACCTCTTGACCTGTTCAAGCTGTTCTTCAGTGCACTAACAGTACAGACACTCTGTACCAACACAAACAAGCGGGCTGCACAGGAGATGGGAAAGGGTAAAACCTACAAATGGACTGACTTGACTGTAGAGGATTTCTATAAATAAACTGCTGAAACTGGACAATGTATTGGACTACTGGAGGAAGGATCATTTTGTCAGTGTATAATGAATAGTTGGTTGAAGCAAAAAAAGTTCTGATGTTCAATATTGTAAATAGTGAGATTTTGCAGTTATATTTATATACATTGTTGGTATTATAATAAATTGTTGGTTGAAAAAAAAAGTTCTAATGCTCAATTCTTTTTTTTTTTACACATCACATGAACCTTGTTATGTAAGATGAAGTCATTATTCAGTCCTGATATATCTCAGTCCCTGCTGTGGTGAAAGTAGAGTGATTGACAGCTGTTTTACTCAGAATTCGAATTTATAAAATTTCATTTTAGACATGAATAACACATTTATATACAGTGTAATTCAAATATTTCACTACTTTTGTAATCCTAAGACTTTGGTAACCAAATCTAAAACACCAAAACAATTCGATCACATGAGTACATTTGTGTTTTCACAAGAGTTTTGAAGATTTTCTGAAAATCGGATGTCAAATTTTAAGCTTTTGAGCTACTTATCTCATCAAACAGTGCTCTAAGGTGAGTAATTTGCATATATAGCAATACTAGAGATTGTCCTGAAATTTTTTATATGTAACACATGGGTGCCATTTTAGAAGAAATACATTTAAAAGGTGATTTAAGAAAACATCTAAAAATCGAGAAAATACCCTTAGACTCCAGAGGGCTGTTTATCAATTATTTCAACTGCTATCCATAACCTTTGCTGATGGCATAATATATAAACTGTATATAACCTTCGATGCTAGCAACTGTTTTTCCATTACCTTTGATGCTAGTTAACTATTTCAACTGTGTTTTCATCACCATTGTTGGTAGTTACCTCAACAGGAAATTCATTAGATTTGTATGCCAGTTAAATGTTTAAACTGTTTATACATGACCTTTAATGCTAGCTAAATGCGTATCAATGACCTTTAAGGCTAGATACATTTTTCAACTATTCATGATTGTAGCTAACTATTTCAACTGCTCTGCTAACTTGCTAAAGTTAACTAGTTTTTACTTACTCTCAATTGCAAAACATGTTCGTAATATGTTTTACCACTTACTTGTAAATGCAAGTTATCACATTATTTAGTAATGTAAAAACTTAGTAAAGATGTCCTTCCTTCACATTTCTACACAAAAGCACGGAATAATCAATGTGTCCACTTGTACTGTGTCAGTCACAGTCACATTGAATGTCATGCTGTTTACATTTGTAACACACAGGATTTAGATTTGTTGCATTCTTTTCTTGGTATACTGTTATTCTTTAAGTGATGCTTGACCGCTGTCACATGAAACTTTCTCTTTTTCCCTGATTTGAAACAAAAATCATGGATTTTATTTTAATTTTATTGAAAGGTTTCAGGTCCTGAGAGCTCTATGAAAGATTTTAATTACCTCTTTTTGGTCCAAACTTTCAATTTCCAAATGTTATATTATTAATCAGACAGAAGCTTTATAATGTTAATCTCAGATTATCTCTGATATGCTCGTTTCCTCCTTAGGATTTGAAATGATGGAGAGCAAGAACAATGTTTGTTCCGTGATGAAGGACGGTGAGATGGATGTGCAGGTCAGAGAAACCAAAGCTCAGTCAGAGCAGTCCAACAACAACAGAACCAACTGGTCAAATGGTAATAAACTGCTCACATGATTTAACTGCTCACAGGATTTAACTGCTCACAGGATTGAACTGCTCACATGATTGAACTGCTCACAGGATTGAACTGCTCACAGGATTGAACTGCTCACAGGATTGAACTGCTCACATGATTTAACTGCTCACAGGATTTAACTGCTCACAGGATTGAACTGCTCACAGGATTGAACTGCTCACAGGATTGAACTGCTCACAGGATTTAACTGCTCACATGATTTAACTGCTCACAGGATTTAACTGCTCACAGGATTTAACTGCTCACAGGATTTAACTGCTCACATGATTTAACTGCTCACAGGATTTAACTGCTCACAGGATTTAACTGCTCACAGGATTGAACTGCTCACATGATTTAACTGCTCACAGGATTTAACTGCTCACATGATTTAACTGCTCACAGGATTTAACTGCTCACAGGATTGAACTGCTCACAGGATTGAACTGCTCACAGGATTGAACTGCTCACAGGATTGAACTGCTCACAGGATTTAACTGCTCACAGGATTTAACTGCCTGACTATAGATACCAGTAAACAGACATAAAGTCATGTCATTTTTATTTTTTTGAGCATTATGTCAGAATTCTTTGTAAAGATATAGCATTGTCAGCGCAAGACTATTGGCCCATCTTTTTACCACTGGCTGATAAAAAATATAGGTTTAAAGTCTTCTCTCTCTGTCTCTGTCTCAGGTCAGTGTGTTGTGGCGATGCCCAGCTGTTCGATGCTAAACCCAAGCTTTGATCTGTCTCTCTGCCGAGCCAAACTTGAGAATGATGGCTTTCAGGTCAGAAAACACCCAGATACCAACACAAACATATGACCCACTGTGGCACCATAACATTCAGATATCTTTACTTTAATCTCTATTTACTTACTAATGTTTTTAGATTCCAGAGGAAGACATGGAGGCTCCTCTGAAGACAGCTCTGGAAGTTCCCTCAGTCAGGAGATACATGGTTTTCAACTCTGCCCTCTTCCATTTCTTAATGGCACCGGTATGATTGTCTGGGTTTCTGTGTAATCTTACCAACTATAGTTACTTACTAAGCTACTTTCTGTAGTACTCTTGCTCTCAATCAATCAACCAATCAATCAATACACCTATCAATCAGTACACCTATCAATCAACCTATCAATCTATACATCTATACGTCAATAATTAAATTAACCAACCAACCAATCAATCGATCAATCAATATTAAAGTTCTCTAAGTCTGTATAAATGAAGTTTGCTGTAAGAAACTCAAATACAAATTGTAAACTGCAACGCATATTTTCCAAAATGAGACCAGTTTTATACTTCTGGTTAATACTAGCAACCACCAACTCTTCCTCCACCAGGTGCTGTATCTGGTGGTGTGGTGCGCTGTGTTCTCCACCCTCCACGTCTTTATCACAGTTAGTGACTACTGGGTCCTCTGCCTCTCTGTCAGCCTGGTCTCTATCTTCCTCACCACTGCCATAATATTCATCCTCCACTGCAGTAACAAGGAGGTAAGGCGGGGTCTGATACCATGTTTACAGTAACATTGACACATTTACAATAACTTACATCTGAGTTTGGATCTGAAGTTATTTCGGTAATGTAATTAATATAGACACAATAGTTGTGTTGGTTTTGACTGCATGTATTGCCCAATGACACAAATACACTTAGATCAAATTAAATACTTATAATTGGAAATAATTAATTTAAAAACATGTTTCTTTGTCTGTTTCTGTGTCAGATTGACATGAATTTAGACGTCCGGTTAATCCAGGTGAATGAGAGGCTGGTTAAACACAAGCTGATGGTGGCCGTGGTTGACTGGGTGCAGTCCTGCTCAGGAAACATGCAGGTTGGTTTTATAAATAAACTCAAACTGCAAGAAAATAAGGTTTCTAAATGTACCAGAATTGTACTAACTTTTGGTCTTTTCTTACTTACTTCTTACATTCTGACTTGCTCTGCCTGTCAGGGAGAACAAAAGGAATACAAACACAACATGATTATTTATAACACTGTGAGGGACGGAAGAATGACACAAAAGAAACATGTGGTAAATGACTCAGCAAGATTGCAATTAAGATAACGTCTCAGCAGGCAGAACTGCACAACAATGACAAAGCAAATACAAACCCTTTACTAATCTAGAAAACGTTGTATACTTCCACATTTCCAGGCATTTCCCAACAATGTATTCATATACTTTGTATGGAATATACACTTAAATATAAGAAATTAAAGCCACACATTACTTTGACTTGATGTTTGTGGTCGTTACGTTGTCCTGAATCATGCTAGTGTGTCATTACATTAAATTGATGAATATTATTTTCTTTGGCAGCCTCTGATAAAGTCTTATACGTCTCTCTGTACCTCTCTGCAGCTGTCTTTTGTGTATTGGGACATGTCCCGCTGTCTGAGGGCACTGACTGAAACTTTAGAGGAGCGCAGCTTTGTGGTGAATGACACCCAGGTGAGTACATCTGTCCCTCAGTTTGTTCACCTGCTGCTCTATTGATTTTTTCTTGTACTTCAATGTAAATTCTTCCCTGAGATCAATAGAAACCATTTCCATATCTTCAGGAAAACAGAAGTTTACTCCTTAAAGGGTGGCTTCAGATTTCATAGCTTCAATTTGGCAGAAGGAAGGAAATGATAAAAAGCATTGGTGTTTCACCAGAACAAATTGAAGAAGAAAATGTCGCATCTGGCCCTTGTGACGGAGGAAACGGCGGTTGACCTCAAGGTTGGAGGGTCAGATGTGGAGCAGGACCCTGATGAACAGAGGCCTCTGCTGAGCCAGGAGAGCACGGGCAGCAGTACTCCATCCAGCCCGCCAGAGGCTGCCAAAGTCACCACCAACTACAGCCTCATCCCTGACCAGTCGTTACCTGCTCAGGTAAAGGATGCTAAAAGATGTATTTGTTCCCACACTGAGGAAATGCATATTAGAGCTTTTAATGTCAATCTTTCAGTTTGTGTGTACAGACAGAGAGATCGAAATGACGTTTCCAACAATGCCGAATACAAAAATAAAATTATACAATATACAGATATGTATAAAAATATGTATAAAATATGTATATCCTATACACAATCAACAGACACATTTACACATATGCACACATTAAGATAAAAAAACACAACAATCAATATATACAAAATAACAGTCGCATCAATATCAATATCTTTGGTGAAAGATTGTCCATAGTGCATTTATTGCAGATTGTCCATAGCAGCGTACAAAAAAAAAAAAAAAAGCAGCTAGGTTTGCGCATACATTTAAAGTTTAAAATGTTTCATCTTCAATTACTTTTAAAATATTTTTTTACTTTTAGATTTCATTTAAGTTTAGTTTGTTTCAGAGTTTCAAAGTGTGTGAGCTAGTTTAAGTCTCTGTAAAAGTTTTAGTTCAATCATATTAAGCTTGACAGTTTAATGTCTCAGAAGTGTGAAGCTATATACAGTATACAATCAAATAAATGGCTGGATAATGGAATTGTAAATAAGAATAGCCATTATGTTTTAATATTTTGAATCAAGAAGGTTACTAAGACTTCTAATACTCTTCTTTGCAGGCTAAAGCCTACCAGCTTCTGATGACCTACAGTGCAGCGTACGTGAAGCTGCTGGTGTCCCAGCGGCTGTCAGGACCGACCCACCACCGCCTCCGGCCCCGGAGGAATCACTGCACCACCGCTCCTCTCTGCCTCTGCCAGTACATCAAAAAGCAGATCCTTCGATAACACAAACCTGCTTCATGGAGCGTGACTTTTTTTTACTTTGCACCTATGCTCTGGAGACAAACTGATTTGTTGGATCATTTCCTTAAATGAAGGACTTGTTTGGAGCTTCACACTCCAGTCTGCAGGCGCCTGTACTGATGTTTTTCTTATACCAGCTCTGTGTTTGCATCACCTGGATCCTCGTCTATTTGTTCCCAACAATTCCTGCACTGTGCCAAACGCTGTAAAACAATGTTTGCACTCCTGTACACATGACAATCACGGCCTTAGTTACTGATGTTTTGAGTATTTGCACAAATATTATAAAAAATCTTGTGATTTGATTTTCAGTAGATTATTTAGTATGTCTGTTTATGGTTGAGCTGAAGGCAGTGGTGGAAAGTATCTCAGTATAGTTTCTCAAGTTCTGTACCTTGGTACAATGTTAAGGTACTTTAGTATTTTTATTTCATGCTACTTAATACTTCTTCAGTACAGTTTGTCGTAAGTGTCGTAAGTAGCACTACATTAAAACAGCTGTAATTAAAGTTACTTTTCATAATAAGATACAAATTAAACTAGTTGTTTTCAATCCTTTTATCTTCTGACCTTTTATTGTCAGTTTGTCAGCAGTTTCATTTGATGCATTTTTATGTTTCGTATGAAGTAAACTGCTTACGTAAAGTATTTTAAAATTCCCCATATAAGTACAATACTTGAGTATACGTATGAACTTACTTTCATTGTTCCACTGGATTTTAATTGTAGAACTATTTTTCATGTTGATTTATTGGTGAAGTTAGAAGAAGTACTTTGTAATTTAACAAATTGAAAATTAATTTCCATTTAGTTTCCAAATAGAACCTTGTAATCTGTGTTTCGTAGAAAATATTTACCCCATGTCCACTGCAGGAAACATATCTTTAAATAAATATTAAAAAAATATTGAGAACAAAATATGTATTGATATTTCTCTGGAATTCAAATGATGCTAAAAATAGATGCTCTAAATATTAAAACCTTTTTTCCGGGTCTCAAGAGGCTATTGTAGCTATTTTACATTTGTTTTTCAGCAAAAACATTGGTTTGTAGTTGAATCCTATCAGAAAAAAGTGAGGGCCTAAACAATACAACCAATAGAAAGAGGTTTGATGGAGATACTGAAGGTGGGAGCTGAGCCAGCCTGTGTGTGTAGAATCACAGATGGCCATTTAGCCTCCCGAGGACAGCCAGCATCTCTGAATCGTTTAACTTGGCCTTCGCGCTGCACGCCTCTCTCCTCCATCACAGAACCCAGCTTCTCCCGGGTCAGCCACGCTGACTGCCTCGCTGTGTGTTGTGTCATCCTGCAGCTCTCTCGCTGGGCTGTCACCTCGGCAACAGCACCGGGACTGATGGGTAATATGGGAGAAACCTGCAGCATGCTGCACACACAAATGCATAGGTATCTACTCCTACTACACACATAAAATCAAAGGTGTGAGAACACAGAAAAAGACACAGTCTGGTTTAGCTTCTGTTGCTGACATTTGAGGGAATATAGTCACAAAACTAAAGCCAACGATTCGTGTTAGCTTGCTTTCAGCATCATTGCCCAGCTTCATCAAGGGAAATCTTTTTATCTCCCTTCATGCTTCTGTTCTCGTCTTTGTCTACACATCGAATGTCAACCTTTCCTTGGCCTAACGGAACATTGCACTCTAACCCACAAATGTCAACCTCATGGTGGCGCTTGTAAAAAATTCAGACAGTCATTATTCATCCTCTTGGGACCATGAATGCCGGCACAAAAAAAACATTACATCCAACGGTTATCAAGATATATCAGTTCAAATCAAAGTGATAGACCGTTCTGACAGACCAATGCTTCCTGGATGGGAAGGCAAAAAAATCCTATTGTTGCAAAGATGATGACCAAAAAGCAATGAAAGCGAAATGTAGGAAAAATGAGACGCTGTAAAACACAATGTGATTAAGCAGCAGATAGTGAGAGATACTGTAGTTCATGTTCTGATAGAGGGAGGCAAAAGAGAGACAGAGAGGGAGAAAAACCGGGGCAACTATAAATAGCTTAGTGATGAGACGAGAGAGGAAAGGCCACAGAGACACAGAGAGGATGGAGAGACAGGAGAGGGGGAAAACAGACACAAACAAAATATACAGTCTTCACCAGTGTATCGTTCACAACCAAAAAATGATTCTTTTATTCATTACTCAAACAACTGAAGTCAGAAACAACTAACGCATGTGCAACACAGCCATGAACATAATTATAATAATAAACCTCAAGAGAACCACATGTACACAGGACATTTCTGGCTCTTTGAAACAAGCAACCCATCGCGTTTACAAGCTCAATAAATAATAATTTCAAAAATAAAAATGAAGTACACATCTCCCAGCTGTGTATAAACAGCTATGTTAAGTCACATCAGAAAGCACACAGGGAGATGAAGCCTAGTGCTGTATAAACTAGATATGCTAAGAATCACTCTATGCACACACACTCACTGTCAGAGCCCTCTGCACAATTATAATACTAAACAATACTGTGCTTCGTTTACTCTTTTAACACTGAAATATCACTCAGTCAATCATATTAGCACAGGGCGTTTATTTATCAAACGGCTAAAAGGGATTTTTCTTTTTGCTTAAATGAGAACTTCTCCGGCTTCTAAAATTCTTCATTTATCGTGAAAAGAAAATAACTTTTCCTAAAGAACTTCAGGTAAAACAGTGAATAATTATACAGTTGGTTATTTTGTAGGTGAAGTATTCATTTAAGTGTTCAAAGAAAGAAAAACCTTAATTTTACTAATTTAAATTATTAGTTTTTAAGTAGACGATGGATGGATACGCACAAAGAGTCATATTGATATTCTCATCTAATGCTCTGCAAGATGGCGAATAAGCATAATTCCCACAAAGTTCAACTGTTAATAAAAGCAATTTTATCAGAAAGTCTTCAGCTATTAATAATATGTTATCTGAACAGTCAGAATAATTCTGTAATTATTAAATCACATGTTTTGACAGAAAAAAAACGATGTTACTCACTGAGTAAAATTGATTGTTTTTTAAGGTGAGATGGAAGATAATTCTCCTGCCTCGGCTGGAAAATAAAAAAATTCTAATCTATTCTTTTAAATAATAATCAATAAGGCAGTTATTGGGTAAATCCTGGTATCTGTACATATATGTGATCAATCAAATAAAAGTTACAGGCTGTAGAAAGGAGGAAGTCTCTTCACAAAACGGTATTGTTACTAAGCTGGCTTTTAGGAGCAATATTAATTGTAGTTTTTAGAAGATTGATAAATATGTGCCCAGATTTACTTAATATAATACATACGTGATAATCAAATGCAATGCCGTTGCCAATAATAACAATAACATAATATATACTACTGAATAAACTGTGTTTATACTGTCTGTTTTTGTTCAACAAACATCATTTTAAATATCTCTGTACAACTCTTTTAAAAATAGCATCATCATAGGGACCAACAGAGGAAAAAGGGGGAGCAGAAGGGAAATATGAATAGGTCCAATAACTCATGTTGATAGGAAAAAAGATAGAGGCAGAGAGGGAAAGATTTCAAAGAGCGGAAAGTGCTACAATACAGTATAGGCATTAATAATGTATCTCTCTCTTATTGGAAACATTCATTTTCAGTTCCTCCCATAACCCCAGAAACCTCAGGTCATAGTTCATACAGTAACGTTACGGCCATGTTCGCTCTTATACATAACAGCACACCTGCTGCTTCATTTTGGAGACCACACTCTTTTGTGACATGAACCCTGACTCGTTTTGTTACAACAGTGAAACCTCAATATTTAAGACAAGTGGAGACAAACTGAGGATGACATGCAGGGTTATGTTGCCTCTTAAGTTTAACGGTGCACTATATTTTCACATACAGTGTCTGAGAGACTAAATAGCTAAGAGATGTGCAACACAAGATAGGCAAATACATTTCTAAATTACTGCCAAAATAATGTTTGCAAACCTAAAATTCAATTATCTAAATTGTCTCCATTTCTTATTTTGACAGTAGCTTGTACTAAAATACTGTACCTCACATTTGTACTTTAGGAAATATTCCCACCAATAGCTATTATTGCACTGGACACCCCTTTAGCTTAAATGTATATTTATCATGCACTATAAAACTATGAATGTAAGCAGCTGCATCGTAACGTCTTGTAACCACAAAGTGCATCACCATCAGATATCAAATTTAAGCCAATTTCAGAGTGTTGTATAGCTGCAACAACTAGTGATATAATGTAAATGAGAGCAGAGAAAGTCGTTGCATTGAATAAATTAATACATAACAGATATTTAAATAAATAAAAAAACATATAATTCATAAATAATGTATCATCTCATCCAGCCTAAGTGTCCATGTAACATACAAACAATGAATCTCAAATAAATACTCTGTGTTTGATTACATTAGACACAGTCCAGTCTCCATTTGGTGTGTTAAATGTGTATTGATCACCCCGTTTAACACTTTCTATAAGCTTGACAACAGCAATAATACAACTCTGCAAATCAACACTGCTTCAACATGGCACTATAAAAAAGAAGAACAAATGTACTTGTAAGACTAAAATGGGCATTTAACTATCCTAAAAACAATTAATCTGGGTCCAATTTAGTAGCTACCTAACATCCTATGTATGAATTAATGGGCATCAAATGAATTGTTAAAACAAGGAGCTTCCCTCTTGCAGCTCATTTCAGAGTGTAAATATTAAGCACTCGCTGTACTAACAGAAATACTGGGCCTCATTTGACAGATGCTTGTATTTGGCGTTTGAACATCAGCTGTGATTGGTTGTTTTTGGTCGTGTGTTTGATGGCAGCAGGTTAGGTCGGAGCTGTGTGTGTGCCAGCGATGCAATAGCAGTTTGTGTGCATTCTCAGTGCTCCTATTTCCTCCAAACGCTTGAGAGTAGTTAGCTATGTAAACGCCATGATTTCCATTTGTCTGACACTGCGAGGAGTTAGGGATCCCAGTCTTCGTCGTGGTGCTGCGAGGCGATGATGACGACCACGGTGAGGATGGTGCACAGCACGATGGAGGCAATACCAACAGCTAGGCTGATGAAGGAGAAGTTGCGAGCCTCGCGGGAGGCTATTTCCGCCGTCACCATGTCCCCTCTGGCTATCGCCGTGCGCACCTAAGTGAGGCAGGAGGGAGGGGATGGGTGTGTGGGAGAGAGGAGAAATAAGGATTATGTAACAAGAAGATGCACGAGTGGGAGCAGGAGGGAGTATAAAGCACCATGAATGGATCGATTTCACTGCAGCACAGGCTGAATGTGCAGAAAGAGGCCACTCCACACAACATTAACACACCATAACAACATATACGGCTCAGACCGGTGGGTCCATGCCTTGTCAGCTCAACTTAACTCAAAGCCAGCTGAGCAGGCCCAGAGGAAAAAATCCATTCTACCCCGTTGCACCGACAATGGTGCAGTTACGTAATGAGAACTGTGTGTTGTGTATGTTGGTCAGCACAGTCTGCCGTTACAGTGGCAAACAACAGGCATCACGAGGTTTGAGAGTCACCAGACCTATATTTACATTTCTCACATCACGCTCAACTAAACATGACCAACATACAACATGGGGTATGTTGTACGCTGAGGTCCTAATATATGGATGAAAGTATGCACTGTAGGTGTAATGCTGGTGCACTGAGTCAAGATAAATTCTCTTTAAATGTGTAATATAAATCCTACAGTGACAGATTACTTCTCCTGTAGACCTTTTATGTCCGGCTGTGCATTATTTAATGGTATTGAAAACATACTGTACGTTGTCAGCATTTGTAATTCACCTCAGAGACCCGCCTGCTTTGTCAGGAAAAGCAGTTTTTTTTAGTACTGCACTGTAAATTGTATTCATGTACCTGTGTTATTATTTTTTATGTTTTATTATCTTTGCTTTTAAATGAGTGTTTTGAAATGACATTTTATAATATGTTTCTGCTGCACTGTTTCTTAATGCTCTTAATGTCTTTCATTTTTGTAAAGCACTTTGAATTGCCTTGTTTTGAAAGGTGCTATATAAATAAACGTGCCTGGCCTTGCCTAGTATGAAGAGCATTTCAACTATATAGTATGTGGATATTGTGTATGCCCGGATGTATACTACATTAGCAAGTATTTCTTGAGTATGAAATGTAAGCTGACTTTGCAACTCAAATGCCCCACAATGCATTGCTGCTCTTCAGACTTTCCAATGGAGACGGTTTGAATAAATAAGTTGGATTGACAATACAATACTGAATAATTAAAATTTGCCTGGAAATAAGACATAATGTTGATTCGCTTTGCAATTAACAATTTTCATCAAACTGTAGCTCAAGGTCATGTGATGCATGAAATAAGTATTGCTTTAGAATGAACAGTCTTCCAGTAATGGCAGGACATTTCCACCGCCCATGTGTCTCCCATATGTGGGTGTTTTCCCCAAAAAGTGTGACTAAAAGAAATATGATCTGACTTTTCTAGATAGCCTACAATATTTAGTTTTGATCACTGTCATTCTTTAGGCAGGTACAATCCTGAAAATAAAAGGAAGGGTGTAATGACTCAAAGATGCATTTACATTACAAAGTCTCCCTGGTGGAGGCGGCATTATGTTAATAAAGCTCAGAGATCACAAAATACGATGAAGTGTTTTTAACCTGCACTGCTTTGATGATGGCAATGATGCCTGTGGGCCAGAAGCAGCAGACGGTGGTGAGCACGGCGATGGGCAGGTAGTCGTGGGGCGGCCGGCGGTCCATCAGGGTGATGCCGGGGGGCATTTGCATGGGATGAATCTGTCCGGGTGGGATCCCAGGGTGGCCCCCCCCCGCCTGGATGTAGGGCTGACCCTGAGGGAGGGAAAAGACAGACAGTAAGTATGACAGCTTTTTAATAACAGAGCTATTTACAAAGTACTTTCATATCAAAAGACACAGGACAAGGGGACGCAGTCAAAGAGGACAGCTGCATGAGCAATGTCTCGGCATGTATCAAAGAGTCGTACATGTAGAAGTTCCATAAGCAACATGGTAGGGAATGTCAAAGAATCATAGACCGTATAAGAATGTATTCAATTTGAGGATTAATCCCCAGCTCTTGCTTTCAATTCATGTACTTGGTGGTGAGAACAAAATCACTTTCAGTTGTTTGATGACTCATTTTGGGGGCTAATTTCCCCTGTTTACTTCAGGGTGGGTGTGAATGGCTTTATCTACTAAACAAACATCTGCAGCTTTATTGAAAAAAAAGTACTTGCAACTATTATTTTACTAAACCAACGACTACTCACATAAGATAAGATAAGATGTACTTTATTCATCTCAATTTGTGAAAATGTTTAGTTGCAGCAGCATAAAACAAAACAAGGCATCGCACATAATAACAAACTAAAAGAGATATAAACAATTCTAAAATAGAAACATCTCAAAATAGAAATAAATCAGCATTAGAGAGTAAGAAAGATATACAGATGACCGTGAATATAAACAAATCTATTAACTGTCTGACAAATACAAATACTATTGAAAGGCCAATTTTCTGTAAACACAATATAAGCAGGATATTATTTACATAAAGTATACATCCGCTCATCTCATGTTGTATTTTTGGAAAAATGATGTTCCCTTCTAATTGTTTCATTTTGGTTTTAAATAGAACATTGCATTAACATTATTATCATCAAGTAACTGTTAAGATAAGCCGTCTTCTTCTTTCTGTTTTTCTTGTACTAGTTTACAAAAAATATAGATGCATTTTCCCCTGCAAAGTTTAAAGTTCTGTTAAGGGAAACCATTTATATCAGATTTATTTTTATTTCAGTCTAAATGTATTCACTTTGAATCACCATGACTTCGGAATAATTCATTAAAATACAGAGCCTCCCCAGACAGAAATTACCCAATGAAGCAATAAATGAAACTTTCATTGCCCGTAGGGGAATATTCTTTGCACAGAGCATATGAAGAATATCAACCATACATGACAGCACATAATATAACATAATAAAAAGCATAGTTACTGCAATCCATAAAAGAAATAATGCGCAAGTTCAAGAATATGCCAATTCAGCCCCCATGGTTAGCTCGTTTTCAGCTGAATGCTGCGTGATGATGATGTAATGCCTTTTATTTCACGTCCTGGGCATGATATAGCATTTGTTCTATAAAAAAGTGCATACTCAGTCCTTGGATCTGCTATTATATTGTGAGCTGGAATCATGGTGTACTCGTCTACCATTAGTTTTATTTTGTTCCCCAGTTAGCTTGTCCCTTTAATTGGATCTTCTATTGTGTTTTTAACTTTTTATGTAAATGTTTTTAATGTTTAAAAAACCATTTTTATATAGACACATTTTTGCAACGAAATAGTAGACGATTTTTTTTTCTAGAACAAAAACAACCTTAGGATATAATAAAACACTGTCTGCATTTCCCTCTTGTTTTATACCAAACTATATATGTTTTATCCAATAGACATCCTTGTAAATGATTAGGACAACCTGTAATATAAAGTGTGAAGGGTGGAAAACATAGCTGTGAAATGAGGTGGGAAGAAGGTCAAAGTATACTGAAGAGAGACTGGTGTAATTCTGCAGCAGCCTGATGTCAGACCTGTGAAATCTTTCAAAGCACTCAGCTCGTCTCTGACTCACCGATGCCATGGGGTAGACAGGTACGTAAGCTGTGCACGGCTGCAGCTGGAGCGGGTAGCCCGGCTGGAGGTACCCTACAGGGGCGTGAGGCATGGTGCCCCCGGGGCCCTGGGTCTGGACCGAGTAGCCCTGCATGGCCCCCTGAGGTCCCATCGGGCCGCAGTGGAACTGGGTTTCTTGGAGATATCCATCTGAGCCCGGGGGAGGAGGGGGAGGAGGGTAGTTGGGTTGGGTGCCGGGTGGATGCTGCATGTTGGGATGCTGAGGTACGTTTGGGTCTTGCGGGCCGGGGAGGTATGGAGGAGGCTGCATGGTCTGACGGCTAGAGTCATCAAGACCTGAGAGGAGGAGGAGGAGAAGAAGAAGAAGAAGAAGAAGAAGAAGAAGAAGAAGAAGAAGAAGAAGAAGAAGAAGAAGAAGAAGAAGAAGAAGAAGAAGAAGAAGAAGAAGAAGAAGAAGAAGAAGCTCCTCACTCCTCCTCCTCCCCTCCTCCTAACTCCTCCGCCTCCTCCTCCTCCACCTCCTCCTCCTCCTCCTCCTCCTCCTCCTCCTCCTCCGCCTCCCCTCCTCATCCTCGCCTCCTCTTCTCTCCCCCCCTCCGTTCTTTCCTCTCTCAAATAGAAAAAGGCAGAGGAAGAAAATAAACGGATGTAAGAGTGAGGGCATGTTATCTAACTCAAGCACTATAACACATTTGTGTGCATGTTGAATGAATGATGTCTTATCTCACTGCTGAGGAGGGGAAGAAACAATTACACAGACCAAAGCTCCTCAGTGAGACTTCCAACCTCCTCCACAAAACATGTGTAGTCTGTGTGCTAATGATGACAGTGATTGACATTTTCACCTCCAGAGAAGAAAGGCCTTTTTCTCTCCTTCTCCCATTATAAACGTTTTTTACGAGTGGTTAGAAATGTCAAAAACGTCCTCTTATGGTCTGTCTGTCTGTCTGAAGCATCCTTATTCCTTCTTTGTTTTAGTCAACATTGAAAATGACTGAGGGGGTTTTGTGTTTTCACAGCAAGGAAGTGGCTGTGGTGCACGGTAATCCAGATTGACAGGGACATGAGGAGTGAGGATAAAGAGAAGACGTGGTTGAGGAGGAAGGATTTGATGGGACAGGATGAGAGTGAAGCAGCTGAGTGATGAGGGATGACGCATTGTGCTTGGGGACGATCTTTACGTAACGCCGATTCTGTCACAAGCAGGAAGCGGAGCAGAAACATACAAGAGGGGAAAGGAGCTGGCATGAGGGAAGGGACACCTTTAAAAGGGCAAGCAGCTTGGCAAACATGAAGGACAAGACACATGTTGGTGTTTCTCTGTTTAAATGCTACAGAATCCCAAGTAGAAGCTGAGAAATGGTGGATTTGTAGCTTAAAATAGGTTCCACGAGACAGTAACATGTCTGAAAAAAAGTATTTCCAATTTTAAAAAGGACCATCTTCTCAAAACTAAAAATCTTTGTTGGTATGGTTTACCACTTTGATTTATAAACAGAAATCAAGTGTTATTGATCAAAGTAAAATGAGTAATGTATGGCTTTTTTTTTTTTGAGATAGTTGAACGTTTACCCAGGAGGTGAACCGGCACCTCTGAAAGTCCACACTTATTTGTCTGTTTTGGAGACGTGAACCAGCAACCCTCTGGTTCCTGAGCCAATAGGAGAGAGCTGCTGCAAGACTAGGTGGTATTATTTTTATTTTTTCAAACTTGCATTGCTAAATAGTCCCAGCCAATCCCCTTCCACAACCTGAATGCATTAAATGCAAAATATAGCAAAACCAACACTCATTCAATTATTCTAATTATGATGGTGACACTTAAGTACAAGGGCACAGACTAAACAGGATGTTATGAGGAATGTGAAGCAGAAGAATACAATAAACATGTGCACATTGAATATACAATGAATGAATGAATATAGCTTGGCATGTGCTGACACTGTAGAGTCATGTGACTAAGAGTGTGTGCACACGTTGCAGGTGTAATTTAACCCAGGTTAGATAAGACATACTGTAGCTGTCCCAAAGAGGAAAACATCTTTCGGCCGGCTTTTACAATAAGAGCTTTTTGGAACATTCTTCCATTAAATATACTGTATGTTTAAGTGACTCTTACTGTTCCTTTGCACACAATCTTGAACAAACAACAAAGCAACAGCAACAACAAAGGACCTGCTATCATAAATTAACTGCATACCCTTTGTGCCCTGTTTTTGTGTGTTGGTCAGATTGTGTCCCTTCAATCATCTTATGCAATATTATGTGATGTTGTGTTGTCACATTTAACTTGTTTGTGCTGATTTTCTTCTTAACATTGTTTAGTGTAACTGCCTGTTTAAAATGTCCTACATTGCATTACTCTACTAAGCTTTCTTTTATCCTTTTCAGCTGTTTTGCTTTGTCAAGTTTCAATTTCTGTGTTTAATTGTTGTTTTATGGACAATTTACCATCAGCCCAAGGGACACCAGTTCAGAAAACGAGCCTTTAGGCAGACACTGGAACATGTCCAGTGATGGTAATCAATGTGCATTGTCCCTAAGAATAAATAAAAAAAATAAAAATGGAAGCAGCAGGGTGAACAATGACAACAAAGAACATAATACTGAGCTTCAGTGAATTTTAAACGGACCTAAATCATTCCCATTGAGACATCTGCAAAGCATCATTGCCTTACCGTATTTAAATTGATAAGCAATGTTCTGCATCCTTATAAAATACAAAGTAGGCCTGGTACTGATGTTTAATCAGCAATAATGATAAAGGGCCACACACGAGACAACAGGCAGATGTGCAGCCTGTACAGTCTGCCATTTACTGTATCAATGGCCACTTTAAATGCTTTTCATTATGACCTTTTAATCTTTTGTTCTGTACTGTAAATCTGCAGTTTGAGCTCCATCGGTAGTTGGCGCTTTAAACGTTCTAAAATAATCGAAGAGCAAGCTGGAAAGACAAAATGCTTATTTTATGGTAATGCACGCAGACGTGTAGGATGATTATTAATTAAGGCTGTTAAACACGCGCAATTGAAGACGTGCACGCGCAGAGGACACCCACACGGATGTTCACAGTCAGGAGAGACGTACGTAGGCTTGTGCGTAATAATGATAATGAGACTAGGAAAGAAAAGGAAAAAATAACAATAAATCCGGGATAAACCGCACCGTGTCATGTGCAGATCATTAAAAGTAGCTACATTTTCAAGCCGAGAGGTAATCAATAATCTACATGTGATTGACATATAATCATGAAAATGACCCTTTTAACTCTCATTGAGCACCCTGGATACATTATGCGGCCCTATGAAGCTTTCCTCCCGGGTCTGCACCCGCTGTGCAGATAACAGAGATGTTGACAACAGGGGGAGCTGGAGGAGAAAGATCTCGTCAGCCTGAAAAGCGAAAATTATTTCCATTTAAAAAAAAATAAAAGACGGTTTTAGACTCAATGAGGGTTTTAGACTCAATGAAGCTCCAAAACACGGCCGATCATCCCAATTAAAACCTCTCACCGTGTTTTTCCGACGACATGCCTTCCAATCTTCTGTCCTCCTCTGTGATGTACTCCAAAGCTGGTCGTGAAAATCCCTCTTTTCTCGATGCAGTTGTTTTACTCCGAACAACCCATCCTCAAGATATCTTCATCTCAAAAACACCTTATTATAAGTTCAAGTGTTTTTCTCCCTAAGTGAGGCTAATTGTGTTGCAGCGCGCAGTGATCCCCTCTCTCTGTGCGGCCGGCAGTCTAATAAGGTTTCTCCACTAACGCGTCGCCGTACATTGAATTAATCAGACACAAAGCTATCGTTGTCTTAAAGCGACAGTTCGGATTGCGAAACTGCACACGCATTGTGATGGAGCAACCCATCACAGCTCAACACAGAGCCACGGATTTCTTCCCTTGCATGATATTACACCACCTCAGTTTCTCCTCTCACGCAGGTTGTCCTCAGATGGCACATTTTACCTTGAGGTCTTTACAGCAGGATGTCAGAGAAGCCGGGAAATTACACTGATGAAAGCAGGCAAATCATTTCAACATCTTTCATTTTTTATGTATACAAATATGTGGGCACAATCCATGTGTGTTTTAATACAGATTTGTTTTATTACTGTACAATAAATTATAATCAAGATTTAATTCCCACAGTCTCTACCTTGGTCTGGTGGTTAAAATCATTCCCTTTTTTATGTCAGGAATTTTCATGTAAACATTGACGTGTTTTGTAGGCACATACAGCACTTCTTGTTAACATAAACCACCACTTCACCTCCCCCACATGTTTCTCCATCCCTCTAACACCTTTCAGACAAAATACACTTCTCCTCAGTGGGTGTAGAGGGAGGCGGTGAAGACGATGTCCCTGCGGATGGCCAGGGAGGCTTTCTTCTCCATCTTGCTCCCAGGACGGAGTCTCCCACGATGCGGGCAGCCTGGCGCACCTCCTTCAGCACCTCGTCCAGGCGCTGGATGCACCGGACCACCGTGCCCTCCTGCACGTCGGTCAGCTGGGCGATCTCTGCGAACGGCTGTGACGGGACAGAGGGAGCGAGACAGGAGCAGGGTGAGGCATGACATGGTGCAACACGAGGATGAGGAGATAAAGTGTTATAGCATACATCCAGAGGGATATACAAATCTGTCTGTATGTGTTTTAATATTATGTAATTACCAGTGCTAAGTATTTTATACAATAAAACTATTTAAACTAATATTGAATAAATAATTAGACATAATAAGCCTCAACTCAAGCTTTGGGATATCATATGGTATTATAAACAATAAACAATAAAAAGAGATATCAGAAGATTATTTTTGACGATTAAACACAACCAGTCTAACCAAGCTGCCTTTGAGATATCCCATTAAGAAAACTACTGCTGGGGGTAAAAACATCATTCACATTGTTGATATTAAATATTCAGCCTTTAAGATCACACTAAGCTATGATTTCTGTGCCCAATACAAACTATGAAAGTACCTGCCCTCAATTTAAAGACAGGATCAAGTGAAGAAAGGCCGAAATTATTATTATATTTAGTTAACATGTATGTATTCTCACCAAGATACAGATTGCATGTTAATACCAGAGTCTAAATGAACTCTAAATCAAGTGCAACAACTAAAGTGCTACAAGTTAGCCTGGCTGGAAATGCCTTTTATTACTGGGGCACACAATACAATGGGTTTTTAAACTATTCTGAATGAAAGAGACAGACAGACAGATACACACAGGCAAACACAACTGAATACATTATGTCCGCACAGACTTACACCTGGCGAAAACAATAACCGGGAGTGAAACCTCACCATGCCTCTGGCCCAGCAGTACACCACCTCTGTCAGGCCAAACTTGAACTGGCCAACAAACTCCTCAGCTGTCTGCGGTATCTCACACTCCCTCTGCAGCTCTCCAATACGCTTGGCCACTGAAAGCACCCGATCGATACCCTGAGAGAAAAACCACAAAGAGAACGAGAGAGGTGGGGGTTAGAAGAAAAGGGTAAGCCTGAAAGAGAGATTTTAGTTTTACAAGCAGCCTTTAAATGCATCACTCTCTCTCCTCTTGGAGATGTTCAAGAAATCTGTTTTACAAAATGTACCGTTGCTCCTCTATGGCAGGTCTACAGAGCTCAGGTCATCACTAATTCAGGACCTCATAAAGCACTTTCATGTATCAGGGGGCCGTTCACAAGACACACCGACACAGCAGAGGCGAATTTGACAGAGACAGACGAGTGTATTAATAAGTGAGAGAGGCTTGGATGAGTCAGGTGAAGTGCTCTTATTGTCCTTTCTGCAGGGAAAATATGTACAATGTTAAACTGAGTACAAGTGTGTCAACGTGTGTGAGTCACCCAGAGAAGGCAGAGTCTTACACACAGTCAGTACACACACACATCAGGCTGTCATTTTAAAATCTGTGCTTTTCATGAGATAAAAGCAAGAAAAGCTTCCTTTCTCCTTACCTCCTGCAGTGTGTTGGTAATGTGGCGGCTCCACCTGTGTTTTCTGCGTGAATACCAAACAGGACAGCAGGGGCGGCGCTCTCCTCGGGGGCCAGCGGGCTCAGGACGTTCTCGAACAGCAGCTCGGTCAGCAGCAGCTCGTGGCTGCTGATCTGACAGGCCACGCGGCCCTTCAGCTGCACCGCCCCGCTGCTGTCCACGTACTGGAGGGACTGCAGCACCTGAGGAGAGAAAACTAACCTTTAGGAGCGGTTTGGTCAGGATCAGATTAATCTAAATAGTATTTATCTTCTGCAAAAAAAATGTAGGTTCAAAAGATTGTAGGCCAGATTTAAATCATATCTCGTCTGCCACATCTACTTGCTAATTCCTCAATCATTTCTATCACAATAACATGGTCAAGTCTCAATATCTGTTATCTATGCAAACAGGACAAATGGTGATCTAGGACAACGGTTTGGCAATATTTCCTGGATTTTGACCAGGATTTGCCAAAAATGTGAAACTTCATTCATAAAAGAAAATCTAATTCTATATCAACACCCTTTTATTTTTACAAGGGTTATGACGTCATCCCCGTCCATATGTCAGACTATTCAAAGTTTAAGTTAAATACTTTAATAGAAACTTTGAATTAAAAATATGCCCTACTTGGAAAGTTTTTGATCCCTAAAATTCTTAGAATTTCAGCAATTCTCTTTACACAAAAATATTTAAATAAATATGAAATGGATTGCTAAGAACAGTTTTGAAAACACACATGGCTCCCTATGGATAAATAATAATGATATTTATAGTTCTCCAATTTTTTTGTTGAAGAAGATTATCCTGACAACTATTAGATTTCCATGAACATTAGTGCACACACACACGTCCCCCCTCAGAGTAGGACTCTGTGTATAAAGGGTAAGCTAAATGTGCTATACAAATAAACAGATTTAATGCACATTTAAAAATAATTAGAAATGTACCTTAAACCATACTTTTTAAAGATAGGAGTTTGGTCAGAGATTTAAAATTAAACAAAGAAATCACAATCTTTAGGGCGGGAAAGTGACCTTATTCTGATAAATAGACATGTCACAAACAGGTCAGGGCAGCCGAGTCGAGCATCTGATCCAAACCTTGATCCTCTGGTGGTATTCAGGTAGCAGAGACAGAGACCTGGTCCGACACCAGGAACAGCAACCTGTCCAGCTCCTCCTGCACACCCATCCTGTCCTGAACCCGAGCAAACTGAAACACACACACACACACACACACACACACACACACACACACACACACACACACACACACACACACACACACACACACACACACACACACACACACACCACACATACACACCACACACAGCACACACACACACACACACACACACACACACACACACATCACACACACACACACACACATCACACACACACACACACACACAGCCACACACACACACACACACACACACTACATCACACACACACACACAGCACACACACACACACACACACACAGCACACACACATTTTACTTAACTTTATAACACAACAGCAGTACTGCAGCACTTGACCTGATTTCAGTGCACAGAGGATTCTCTCGTTGAATATATTACATAAACCCTCATAGGTCCAATTACTGTATATACTAACACTTACATTATGGGAGAATACTGCATTAACCAGCGTTCAATAATACCCACAAAGACACATTCAAAGTGTGAATCCAAAGTGATGAGAGGAGACTACGATACTGCAAGTAGAGCTCCTTATCTTGCTAAGTAATGAGAGCTTTTGTGATGTAAGTGTGTGTGTGTGTGTGTGTGTGTGTGTGTGTGTGTGTGTGTGTGTGTGTGTGTGTGTGTGTGTGTGAAGGCTCAAATGATACGCTGTATCTGTGAGACAGCGATGAGCTCCAGCTATGAGTCTATGTGGGTAATTATAGAAACAACTGGCTCCAGTCTCAAATCTTATCTCGACGAGGCGAGGCTGCCATCGAGGACAGGACACGTAATAACGAAAGCAGGAATGTTATGGCGGTTTGATATTATTATTGTTGTGAATACTAATGGGAGGATAAAAGGAAACTGATGCAGAAATGAGAGGAGGCTTCACAATGGGAGCTTATTGTTGGGTGTCTTATGTAAGGGTATGATGTTAATGAGCTTCATAAATATTCAACTGCTGAACAAAATAATTTGTGGTCTTAATTAACAAACAGTGAAATGAAACCCTGTCATCATTTTTTATCTCAAAGGGATACACACATATATAACACACACACACACACACACACACACACACACACACACACACAACACACGACACACACACACACAACACCACACACACACACACACACACCCACACACACACACACACACACACACACACACACACACACACACCACACACACACACACTACACACACACAACACACACCACACACACACACACACACACACACACATCACCACCACACACCACCACACACAACACACACACACACACACACACACACACACACCTTCTCTTCAAACTTTTTCTATTTATTCATTTTAACTCTCTGATTCTATCTCGTCAGCACACGGAGCCTCATTGTGTCCTCCACCACATCCACGCTCTTCAACTTGAGGTCGTTCACGGGGTTCGAGGGCTACCATGCCGCTAGGGTTGGCCTCGGCCAATCGCAGGAGCTCCTGGGTAGTCGTGGAAATGGCTTGGCCAGGAGGATCCAGCCTAATGACGACAGGTAAAAGGAAATAGTAAAAATAAGGACACCAAGAAAGATAAGCTCAATGGTGTGATACAAAGACTTACATAGGTTTTGTGATATATATAATGAACAATAAAACATGACTGAGACAACAAATACAGATATACATATTACAAGGTAATAAGGAAATCAGTCAAGCCATGCACCTGAATCGTGGCTGTTGCCTCTTGCTGTAGTTGTCGATAATCCGGTCAGGAATCACCTTGAGGGTTTTCACTGTGGATGGCTGAGATGTCCTGAAGCTTTAACTTCTGCACTGTGTGGACTGCAAGGGCCTGAACAATACAAAAGGGGTAAGGGGACCATCACACATGCTTAAACATCTGTTACAACTCACTGGTAGGTTGAATGAAATGTATAGAAGGCATATGGGTAGAAGTAATGAGAGAAACCAGTGTCAATCTGCCCGTCAACCAACCTTCAGGTATGAAGAGAGCTGTGTTGTAGAGGTGAGGGAAAGAGTTGTTGTTTCCTATTCCTTCCTCTTCCTCATTGCCCTTCTCACAGATGGCAAGAGCTGTGAAGGTGCGATTCACAGAGTCATTCGACACCTGGTATGGAGAGAAGACAGGAGGAGATGGTCAGGAGACGGATGGAGGAAACACTAGGAACATGTTTTTTTTCCATGTTTGGGTTTCCACTCTGGGCTCTGATAACCTCACACGTGTCTGAAGACATGCAGGCTAGGTAAACATTGAACACTTCCTGCAGATGTTAAAGTCTTTCCTTGTGTCTCAGCCCTTACCAACTTCATGCTGGGAATGCACATACCTGAGCCCTGGGCATACTGGGTGTTTACTAGGTCCATTTATTATATTTTAGTTTTTTGTGCTGGAGACTTGTTAAAATGTTAAGAAGTGGTTTACATAATACTATGATCAATAAGAGACACTTTAGTTTTCTTTTCAAAACAACTACAGCAATGACAACAGCAAAAAGGATAGATTACCACAACAACAAAAAAGAGAAAACCTATCAGCAATAAACAGTCTGATTAAATTCCTTAAATATTTGGAGACTTGACACATCAATATTTTATGCAGATATCTTAGCATGGTTTCCCCTTACAAAGGAGATTTTTATCCTCACTGGATATAGCTGACAAAGATTACATTTGTATTAATAAATGCTGGAAAATCGTAATTTGGAGCATCTGAAGACAGTATAACAATTACATATTGCGCGCGCGCACACACACACACACACACCACACACACACACACACACAACACACCACACACACACACACCCACACACACACACACACACACACATCCACACACACACACACACACACACACACACACACACACAACACATACACACCACACACAACACACACACACACAGCACACCACACACACACACACACACTACACACACACCCCACACACACACACACACACACAACACACACACACACACACACACACCCCTTTATTATAACTCCCATAGCTTTTATTTCTGCTTTTGTTCACCACCACAACTCGACCCACAGACAGAGCTTTCATCCCGTTTGACAGACTCCAGAATAGCGCGCTGAAAACAGAGACAGCAGCAAGGAACTGTTACAGAAAATGCAGATTAAAGCTGTTAGGATATGATATCTGTTGTGTGTAAATGTTTTTACCTGCAAGGCCTCAGTGGTGTTCGTAGCTCTGTAACGGTGTGGTAGTAAGGCAGCATGTCGGACAGCTGGCCTTCATTGTCCAGAGGAGGCAGAGAGGACAGCGTCTTCTTCATCTGGCTTATCCTACTCTCACTGGCCTACAGCAGAGGAAACAGAGGAAGAAAGCATTTAGTATTTAACATGTGTTAGCATGCACAATATATATAATTGGGTTGATAAATGATTGTTCCACAATGGGATACTTATTTTATTCCAATCCACAGCCTTTTTTGTCTTGAAAGCGCACACACACTCCGATACAGTTTGTAATTTAATAAACGTGTTACCTGATGTCCCTGTGGTTTTCAGAAAAGCTCCTCCCTCATCATGTCGGTCACACGGAGGGCTTCGACTCGCAGCAGGTTGAGGAATCATCGTGTAGGGTCAGTCTGAACTGGGACTGGAGGTGGTGGGTTTACCCTGAGCCAGACAAAGAGGATGGCGTCAATACAATAAAGGTCAGGACACTAAATAGGATCGTGTTTCCAGTCCCGGGACAAATTAATGGTCTTTTTTGGAATTTTCATGGGATTTTTTGACAAAGAAAAAATACTGAATGTTAACCGGACTCTGCTATTAGTTAAAAAAATAAATTCTAATCTTTTCTCCTGCTGGTTTGCAATTGTAGGTATAATTTAAAGCTCCTAATCCCCTTACTAATCAAGTCAACAACTTTGCCAATGTTAACATGCTTTGAAATGATTTGGAAAGATGGAGCACTATCTGTATTGTTGGCAAGAAGATAATAGCTCCTTTAAGAGATGCAGGAGAATTATTTGTGTACAATGGTCTTAAAACATTCCTCTCCAAGAGAAAGTGTGATAAAGTAGTCTCAACTGTGTTGCTGAAGTTCCCATTAACAGCTAGCAGAGGGCTCTTTGATTCCACATATTTAAAGGTTCCTGTAAAAACCGTAAGCTTTGAGGGTCAGGTTGTGAATATTGGTTGCCGTTGTAGCCAATAGCTCTTAATGTGCAATGTAATGTGATAACACAACTTTCATATGTACTTTGGCTTCAGGAGAACTTTAACATCATCTTTTAAACACAGCCAAAGAAACAGGAGACTCTGATATTATAGTTATTTTCAATTTAACCTGCAAAAGGAGATTAAAACCATAACGATAAACCCATGTGACAGGATGGTTGAAACACACAGGGCCCTCACCAGCATCATGACATGCAGGTCTCCCATCTCATGAACCCACCAGCCTTGCACAGGATGATGACGGTGCCCGTGGCGTCCAGACCTCTCCGTCCTGCTCTGGCCCCGCCATCTGGATATACTCGCCTGAAATTACAAGTTGAAAACATCAAAAAATACTGCCGTTTTTCCCTGAAATCCGATTCATCCCCAGAGATCAAAGAGCATAACAAATGTTAATTCAGATGAAAGAGGGGGGAAACTCAAACCTGGGAGCAGATTTCTGAAGCCGGTCCCATCGTGTTTCCTGATGCTGTCGAACACCACAGTCCTGGCAGGCATGTTCACTCCCATGGCAAAACGTCTCGGTGGCAAACAGCACCTTGGAGAGGAAGGGAACATTAAGGATTATTATTTTAAACCTTATGAGTGCCAACCTTTACTTGCAGGTGATCCTAGGAGGAACAGATACATTGGTTTGGCCAGTACATCACTATCTGATACTTCAACATTAATAAATAAAAGGTGCTGGTATATGATACCTTCTTTTCTGTACTAATTACTCTGACTCACCTTTACAAGACCTCGTGAGAAGAGCATCTCAATGACCTCCTTCAGTATCGCAGGATCCCGCTGTGATGGACTGCTACTTCCCCCTCTTCAACAGATCTCTCATGAGCAAGATCTAAACATGACATTTGTGTTAAGTGTTAATACAGCATTAAGGATGTTTTTTTTGTTTTTTTTTACTTAAAAGGACAGTTTCACCCCAAAATCACCAACAACAGATTTCACTTTATTTTCCTGTATTGCTATTTATCAATCTTGCCAAGTTGTCGAGTGTTTGAGATATCTACCGTAGACATTTCTGGCTTCTCTCCAATATATTGGACCTAGACTTGCACTTGGTTGGTGGGGCTTGAAGCGCCAAAGAACATTTGTAAACAACCCAACAGCTATGTCTCTTTCTTCCCTGGTTAATGAAGATTATCCACACACTTTGTTGTGAGTACTTCATGTCGGAACACTTCTTTACGACCCAAGTACAACCACCAACTGTATTACCGCAAAGAAGAAAGCGTGAGTCTACTAATGTATGAGAGGCACTCCAGCTTAGATAGATAATATAACAGCTCAGCAGAGGAAAACATCAAGGTTAACATATTGGGTTGACACAAACACACGGCTTAAGGTATCATAACATTTTGAACAGAGGAAATGAGAGGGTTAAGTCAACCGTTATTTACCTGAGGCAGCTGCCGGTCCTGCTCCTCGCAGGCGACTCACACTCTTCTGGAAGAAGGAGTGGATCTCGGCCTTCTCTATGGAGGTGGTCATGTCCATGGAGTCCAGCGAGCGGGCGTTGTCATCCACACCTTGTACGAGAGAAGGTGAACGCAACCACCGGCGTCTGCTGCCGCTGGGACAGGAAGTGCAGGAGAGTGAGCCACACCGAGCGGTCCCTGCAGGGACAAAACACAATGAGGATGACAACATGAAGCAAGAGGATTGTTGGATCAGAAAATCAAGGAGGAGAAAGGATGGAAATTACCTGACTAGATGAAGTGTTGTGGGAAGTACCTTTTGTACCAAAAAGATTGGGCATGTTTGCTGGTGCGCTCCTTCTTGGCATCGATAGCTGCGTAATACCTGAACAACAAACACAACTTTGTGTATGAGAAATAGCTTACATGTACAGGTGTGAACCATTCAGCTCTCATGATCCCATTAGAACATTTTATTTTGGATTCAGTTTGCTGTTTGCTAATGAAGGTGGTGTGGCATAATCATAATTCCATTGTTGAGGTCTACTAAAATAAATGTATATTGTGCAATTTTCCAAACTCACATTGGTTTCTCATACAGCATCTCTAATAATAATAATAATAAATGATATTTATATAGCGCCTTTCAAGGGACCCAAGGTCGCTGGGACCCAAGGTCGCTCTGTATTGTATGTGTATTCTCTCTGTCCTAAACGGCTTGTTGGAGCTCCTGCCCCCCCCTCCCTGTGAGCCCAGTGGCCGTCTGCGAGACAGCGAAACCCAGCCCGAAACACACACACCCGCAGCCTGGCTGGGAGTTTGTGTGTGCCCAGGCTGAGTTCCACGGTGTCTCGCCGCCACCACACCAGTGAGCCAGCTCAAAATGTCCCGCTCCTCGCAACGTCCTGCCTCGCGTGTGTTTGTGTTGTGTGTGTGTGTGTGTGTGTGTGTGTGTGTGTGTGTGTGTGTGTGTGTGGTGTGTGTGTGTGTGTGGTGTGTGTGTGTGTGTGTGTGTGTGTGTGTTGTGTGTGTGTGTGTGTGTGTGTGTGTGTGTGTGTGTGTGTGAGGAAGTCTGCCGATTACGTTACGTTACGTCACTATACCCAAGAAGTAAACAATGGAAAAAGAGAAATCCCCAATGAGGCGTTCTGGGGCAGCACAGACAGGTCTTTTCTGTGTTAGAGTTTTACTTCGCTACAGGGTGTACTTGAGGATTTGTGACTCTGCAGACCGTTTACATGCAGAAAAAGCTACATAACACACAAGGGGACGGGTAATAACTGGAAAAGTGCATGTTGTCTGCTATTTTTGAAAATGTGAATTGATTCAGAGTCTTGAAGGATAAGAATCTTGATAGTTACATTAAACAATCCCCCCCAGACCCTTACTACTAGAATAAAATAATATATACAGGATAACCACAGATCTGAAGATGATAGAAGTGGTAACCCTTTAGTGAGGAAGTTTCCGGTAGGATCCACCAGGAGGAACATCTCTTTCTGAGTCTTGGTGCTGTTTCCAGTGTACAGATAATGCTCCAAAGGCACAGGTCTCTTCATTGTGCTGATCACATAAATATGCTTCTTTTTGATACGTCTGTGAGGAAAATGTTTAAAGTGCCATTAATATTAGTAGCTTAGCTCTTATTGTGACAAATGCTCTCTAATATTGAGTGCACCTACCCGATCCACTCGCTGAACTCCAGAGCGTTGGGCACTGTGGCGCTGAGGAGGATGATGCTGACGTGATCAGGAAGCATAATCAAAACCTCCTCCCACACAACCCCTCTCTGAGGAACAACAAAAGGAAGTGAAAAGAAGAGAAGAAAAATGTTACTCTTGACTTCAACAGTGAAAGAATACAGAATGCAGTTGGGGTTGTTGCTGACCTCGGCATCGTTGATGTAGTGAACCTCGTCAAAGATCACCCACTCCAAGTCTCTGATGACCTCTGAGCCGTTGTAAAGCATGGACCTGAAAGAGAGCCAGAGCAAGACGATTACATGCTTTGTCCATTTTATGTGAAACTTGAATTTGATGTCTATTCCAAACAGCTTGAGTACCGGAGGATCTCAGTAGTCATGATGAGACATGAAGATTCAGGACTGAGCTGGACGTCGCCCGTCAGCAGTCCAACATCTCCGAACGTTTGCTTAAAGTCTCTGAACTTCTGATTGGACAAGGCTTTGATTGGAGAGGTGTAGATGGTCCTATGAAAACACCAGATAAGAACGTAAAAAGCTTATATGTAGACAACCTTAAGGGCAACACCGTCAAGGGTTGGTTATCTTACAATTACATGTCAATGTATAATCCTGAGGTAACATGTAAATGTTCAAAACACAAGTTATCAAAACTAATCAAGTGTTATAAGAAACATTTCTTGATGAAGTAATTAAAACAGTTAATTAATAATTAATAATTGCATTTTACCAGCGTAACCAATGATTTGCAACAATATTTAATAAATGTCCGCGCTTTGGAAAGGCTGAATAATTCCCTATTCCTCTGAGTTCAGAAAAACTTTGAGTTTCACAAGTCTCTTTAAAAACCTCCAGTAAAAACGTTTAGAGGATCCGCATTTAGCTTTGCACACTCTCTGAGGGCAGGCCAAATTAATTTGTGCCAACAGATACACACCTTGTCATGTGTTTCTGTGAGAGAGCGATGGCGTACTCGGCCACCACTGTTTTGCCAGCTGACGTGTGTGCAGCTACAAACACGGAGTCGTGAGCCTCCAGCAGCAGAACAGCTTGTTTCTGGAAGACGTCCAGCTCAAACGGCCACTGGAGCAGAGAAACAGATCAGTTATCACAGGAGGAAGCTCAGGGGGGTTTCATGTGATCATTCATCACAGAAACAGAGAAACAGGACAAAAAAAGGCAGGGAACTGTATGAAGAATGCATTCAGGAAACAGACACAGAAACAGAAATCTTTCTAGAATACCAACTGTAGGAGCCATATGTTAAAATGTATAGTTTGATATATTTGAATATTATAATCCTTGTTATTTGCATTATTATATCATTTATTTAAACCAGCCAAATTGACGTCATAGATGACCGCAGGTTTTGTAATTAGGAGACGTTAAAGCCTACGGCAGCTGCTGGTGATTGAAGTGAGAAGGAGAAAGAAGCACAGAGCAATATCGTTTTTTGACCTGTGAAAATATGTGTTTGTATTTTGATACCTTTTGTTTTAAGTAAAGAGTCAAACAAACTTTCCTGAGACTTATTTTGTCCGAGTCAAGCTTATTGCTACCTGTGGATTGATTTTTGGATTAGACGGAACTACACCAACCTTGAAAGCTGGGTTGGGGATGCGTTTATAGAAATCATCGCAGGGTGCACTTATGTTGACAGGGATGGCCCATTTCTTATTTTCCTCTGGGTTCTCTTTTGGCTTTGATTTGTCATTGTTCCCTTTCTCTGAGGGAGCCGAGGATGACACAACATCCTGAAGACAGAGGAGGGGAGACATAGTTAGGACAGTTTTACTGTAGGAGTGCATTACATTGTTATTGATTTTTGGTTTGCAAAATTAGCAATACTGAATCATTTTCCTACATCTAGAATATATGCAAGACATTACCATAAATCAAATTACACATATTTCTACATAGGGTCACGATCACACATGCGCAAAATTAACATGTTCCCTCCCGTTCACTTATATTTTCCTGTCTGTTCACCATGACAACAGGCACAATAAATGTTAAGCATAGATATTCTGATAAATTAAATAAATGTAAGTAAAAGAAAAACATGTGTTCACATTGATGAATGCACACAGGCTTGCCGGATATTACTCTGTTAGCATGATACGGTGGTTTATCTACAATGTTTTTTTGGACTGCCATTTTCTTTTTATTGATGACATCATGTCATGTTTGCGATCTAATAAGACAGTGAGTTGGAGACAACATGCATTTAATGACCCCTATACAGATAAGTCATAAGTCAACCACCAGTAAACCTCCACTTAGCAAACTGCAGCACCTTAACTCCCAGGTCTTCCAGGCTGTTTGTTCTGGGAAGTTTTGGAGCTTCCTCACTTCCTTTGCTTTCCTCTTTCTCCTCTGCCTCAGGCTGCAGGTCAGTTATATCCAATGTGGACAGCAGGGACATGAGGTTGACCTCTGCCTTTGCAATCTTGGCTTCTTCAGGATACAAATAAACAAAGAAAAAAATATTAAACAATGATCTTTTAACCTTCGTAGGATTTATTTTTAGGAAAGTATAATATGATACCTTTGTCAGTGAAATCCATCCCTGCTTTAAGTCCAGGTGGAACTCTGAGTAAATCTACACGGAAAAAGAAAATGACAAATCTAACCATTAGGAGCTGAAAAAACCACAAGTGTCAGCATTACCTAACAACACTGTAACTAATCATTTAAAAATTACCATTCTCAAAGTCTATTTCCTCCTCCAGTTCAGATTTCTTCTTGATTTGCTCCAGAGTAAGCTCCTCCATTCCTCCTATGAAGATCACCATCACAACAACAATATTGTTAGATAATAAATGCAATGTGAAAACACCTCAGTCGCATCTAAAGGAAGTCATTAAGAGAAAATGATTTGAATCAATCAATCTCACCGGGGAGGAAGGGGTAATTAGTGTTGCTTCCTCGCAGGCTCTCTGCAGGAGGACCAGGTTGGCGTTGGAATGAAAGTGAGTTCTTTGCTGACAGGCTAGTGTTCTCCAGTAAGACCTACAGAAGAGTTAAAGACAGAACACAAAGTAACACACAGTCTGCTTCATACAACAAACATGAATCGATTCTTCAATAATGTGATCTACCTCTGTGAAGTCCAGCAGCATCCCTGTGGTTGGATCTCTGACGACAGAGACACCCGAGTGAAGAGCAGACGGAGAGCAGTGGATCAGAGAGTTGACATTCACTTCTCTCTGGGTCACCCTGGTGAAGAAAACAATACAACATCTTATTCAGATATGTATGATTATTTAAAGAAAAATCCTATCAAGCCAATTGAATGAACCCTCAGTATCGTTATCGTCAGTATTGGTAATACTTATTAGCAACTTTATTGATTTAATATCTGATACCAATACATTTAAAAAATATCTTTTATAAGTATTGCAGCTAAACACTTTCAAATCATTCCACTCCTTTCATAATCAAGTTGATATTATAAGGCAACATAAAATATTGAAGGTTAAAGATTCATGATAGGTTACTCTAAGGTTGATTCTGGGCCAGATGTGGCATACGTTACAATAATATATAGTTTTTTAAATTGTATAAGTATTACATTGTCTACATACAGTGCTTCTCAGAGTGTGGTCCGCGGACCACTGGTGGTCCGTGAGCGCCCCCTAGTGGTCCGTGAGTATATTGGTAACATTTCACATTTTAAATTAATTAATTAATTAGAGTTTTCCGCACTCTCGCGGGAATATCTCCGCAATGGAGCGAGCTTCACTTTCAATTGCATGATATAGCCCGCGCAACACCTTCATCCCACATGTTGCCACTTGTTTGTACCATATTCAGGCGATTTGTAATCTGTTCTAGAAAAACGATGTGATTTTGGATATTTGTGGAGTCAGGTGGTCCGCGAGTGTTTTTTTATTGGTTAAGTGCTCCTTGGTATGAAAAGTTTGAGAAACACTGGTCTACAACATCAAAGTACTGCAACTTGCACATACTCTAAAGAACATATTGGGTTTATTGTCAAACCACCATTCATTATTACAATGTCAAAGCTTATAGCAATAATAACTAAATGTTTTACAGGAAACGTACTTGAGAAACTTCTGGAAGGCAAAGTCAGTGTCATGAATAGGAAGCCAGGCAGCGTCCCGTAAAAACTGTTTCTCTACTTCT